CGGATGATATTTACTGAAGTCATTATAATTTAGCAAGAAATAAAATGAAACTTATTGAAATATTGATCTTAATAATTGTCCAAGTTGCTTTTTTTAAAAAGCAGCAAGTTCTTGCAACATCTATTAAAGACGGTTTAAAACTGGTCGCGGATAATATTATCATTTTGATAGATCGCATTACATACATTTCATTTGAATAGTTTTTAGTTATTTATTACAACGAGGAAGCTCTTATAATCATTATCATTTATTTGCAATTACACATGGTAAATAAACATGTTAGGTACAGACAGTGAGAACGACACATATTTAGCTAAAATTATTAGCATGCAAAAGTTAAATAAGAAACACCACAATATTAGCAACTATTCTAAAGAAGAACAAAACTACAGCAAGTCAAAGAACTCTTTTAAATCGTAAAGTGTCAGTGATAGCAACCATTTACTCAAATGTTTCTTAAAATTGCAAATACAATGTCCTTAATTCTTTGGGTATTCTATTATAGATTTTAATACACAATATGGTTAAACAGCAATTTTTTTTTCTTGGTATGTATCTCACCTGATGGTAAGTGACGATCAGGTCAATCCCCAAATCACCCGGAATCCTCAACCACAGAGGAACTGGCTATCTTACCTCTAACTGCCGGAACACAACAATGCTGTTAACATTGTTGTTATGGCGACAGACTTAGGTAAGATGGTGGAGCTAGGCAGGCTGGCTTGCCTTGCGATTAAATTCCAATAAATAAGGCTCGCCGGTTCTCCCCAATCCGTTCCCCGGCCACGGCCTGAGTCGAAGTCCTAGCCTACCGTAGCGCCCTCCGGCCGCGTCTGTAGTACCCGCAATCGGGCCCACTAGAGTGAGCCCGCCGTAGGCTGGACTTTGGTCCCACACCGCGGTGGGCAACCCTCTCGTTGGGTTCGCCACTGATCGGGCGCCTTATGCGCTCGATACGGAACCGATCGCGAACGTCGGTCTGCGACCGACTCGGACAAGCCTGGGCTTTGCTTCGCGAAGCTCACACTCGGCCTCGTCGGCACGCGCACCGACGATCGCCAAACGGCTAGAGTAGGTACCTTCTGTACTCGCCACTCTGCCCGGTGAAGCTGGAAAAGCTCTTCAAGCTACAAGCGCGCGTTATACCTACAACCATGTGGATCATTGTTGTCTTTAAATAAATAAATTTAATTGAATTGCAAAAAACTGTTCGTGTATATTCTAGCCCATGCTAATGTATTTTGTACTTTTTATTTGTCAATTTTTTTTTATTGACAAAAGGTAAAAAGACAAGTCAGGTATTTGACCGCAATCGCAACTGGTGTTAAGTGAGATGCAGTCTAGCTAGGATGATACATATCTGCCCTGTGAGTGCCTATTCACTCTCGCCTTGAAAAAAGCTGGATTATAGTGTTCAGGAAATATAGCAGCAGGCAACGAAAACCAGTCCATAGCTGTTCGCATTATAAAAGAGTCGTCAACACGCTTCGTTCGAGCTGGTGGAATGTATTTGTCAGATAATCTTTTGAAAAAGCCGTAAGTAGAAAAAACAATGCGGAAATTGACGTCTTTTTTTTTCGCGTGGCCATCGACCAAATCATGTTTTTTGGTTACAAAATAGTGTAATAAACCAAACTTACATGTATACCTCTAGACTCAGTCTGAACTGAGTTTAGAAGTTTGATGATTTGACTATATTGCTTTTTGCGCGCAAATGTAAGAAATTGCAACATTATAGGGGCATTTTTCGGAGAAATTTATCAAATAACCAAAAAAACACGAATTTAAAAGAAGATTTTTTTCAAAAAGTATATTTTTTTATTATTTGTTGGCCCTTTTTGTGTATTTTATGTATTTTTTAGTATAGCCTGTTGTTTAGCATTATTATATTTTATCAGGATATACCGCTTAGTTTAAAAGTTATTACGTTTTCTTTACAATAAGTAATTGGAAGAAAAAAAATTCGTTTTTTTTTAAATAGTCTTAATTTATTTACATCTTTTATGTCGATAAAAATAGGTCTAGTTTCATCTATTTTCATATGTACACTTTAACGTGACTCACACTGTATATCGCAACAAGACAGCAAACCCATTCATCACATAGTGATCTTCAAATCTCCGGCCCATTCATTAGCACATCATCACTCTCCAATTACAATCTGTTGCCGTCATTTTTGCCACAGATTACACAAGGCCGGTTAATTAGTCTATGATTAATTTACTAGTCCCATAAACAATGGTGTTGGTTTCAATGTTCATACATACATATTTACGAAGATTACTGATGCTCGCATTGATACGACTTGGTTGTGGGAAATACCGCAAGAAGTAAGTAAAACCGCTCTCCTTGGGCGATAATACACATAGGACAGTAGAATTAGATTTTAAATCGGAAATAATCCCTTTCTACAAAAGATTTTATTGCTTTAATAGCTTCATTGGTTGTCCATTAAAATTATACTAGGTTTTCGACTTCGACGGAGTTGTGCTTAATGGTAAGGGCCCCCGAAAGAATTTTCGGTTTTCCTGTTATACCGCGTAAAGGATGGAAAAGTGGTCTTCATAATGGTTGGAGGGCATTTTAACCTGAATTGAATAAGACCAAATTCATTTGTTTAGTACAAACCGTTTTCGTGCTTATCTTCGACGAAATAGAAAATGTAGGTATAATTAATAACCCTCTCTACGTCCAATAGCTCGTCACCTGCAGGCTCCCAAGTCTTATAAAAGGGCCACCTTAACCAGCGTATTCCTGTCAAGGCTCGCGAGCTGGATTCACCAATCCTTGTTCGTCTTAGCCGATCCTTAACTACGGTTGCTGCTCTTACTTGCACTCTCCTGAACGACTCTGTGTTATCTACTATGGCTGCCCCTCTTCCTTATACCATCCTATACGACTGCATTGCTTAGCCGTATGCCTGATCCAAGGTTTGACGCCACATAATCTACTTCGTACGCGTGAAAATAGTTTAAATATAATACTATTTCCCCTGCTTGCTACATTTTTCTTTACTGCTTCACTTTTGTTAGTCGTAGAGTGATCGTATATGTGATCGAGTGAGGTATTCAACACAAAAATACAGAGTGGCCCAGAAGAAAGTTCACTTTTGAAAATTCAAGGAAACGAGAACTGTACATTTTTATAGAACTTTTACTATTGCAATTTAAAGGAAATTTAATGCAATGTATTTTTAAATTTAACTTTATTTAATGATATCGCCCAGGAGATTTCTTTGACGCTTACAACATTCGATCAACATACATCAAAATCTTGAAATGCGTTCGTTAGAATTACCTCGAAATCTATTTTCAATTATTTCCGAATGCTCAGCTTCAGTTGCTGCATGGTTGTTGGATTATAAAAGTACACTCTATTCTTAATGTAACACCACAAAAAAAGAATTTTCTGGAATGAGATCAGGGCTTCCTGGGGGTCAGGAGATGTCACCCCTGCCTGAAATTATTTATTTGTGGGAACATGTCTCTTACCATCTAAATGTTCTCATTTGAAGTGTGACACGTCGCCCCATCTTGATGAAACCAAATGCTCCGGTCATAGCCTTGCGAATCTTGCAGCTTTGAAATCAAAAAGCTTTTCAGCCTACTAGTATAGCGCTCTCAAAAATTAATCATCCTTTCAATGCAACAAACCAACTAAATAAGGGTGAAATCTCACTGCCTCTAAGAAGCGCTAAATCTCATTCCAGCAGACTTATTTTTGTGGGTTTACCTTATGAGCAGAGTATAGGTACTCTAATAATCCAAAAACTCTGCAGCATTCATCCATCCTGAATCCATTTCGAGGTAACTCTAACGAAGGTTTTCCAAAATTTTGATGTATGTTGACCGAATGTTGTAAACGTCAAGGGAATCACATGTACAATAAAATTTATAAAAGAAAGTAAATTTTTAAATAAATTCCACTAAAATTCTGAAAAATGAACTGTTTTCGTTTTCTTGAATTTTCAAAAGTGAACTTTCTTCTAGGCCTAACCCTGTATTTATTTATATCAAACTAGTAATTCCTGAGATGAGCGCGTTCAAACAAACAAACAAAAACTTTTCAGCGTTTTTATACTTACTTGTTGTTGTTGATTTTTGGTGTCTAACCTTAAACCAGGCATACGGCTAACGGGACTATTCTCACCTCTCGTACCCACCACTGCAACTCCTGTGTAGCCAGGATCTACAGCTTGACCGCCACAAAAACCCAACCAATGCAGAACAAGTTTGTCCCGGGGGAAAGTTAAACTGTCATTGGACCCGCAACGAAATTAATCAGAAGAACATAGGAGGAGTTCGAAATTAAGGCATACGGCTAGGCGGAGCGAGAGCGCGAGGATGATCCAAACGCGCCCTTGCTCCGGCGACGGCGGAGGGGTCAGAGAAGGCGACAATATGATCGCCTCTAGTTTCCACTCCTCGGTGATGGCCAGCGGGCCGGAGGCGTGGGGGCCCCCCGTCCTGAGGGTCTTGTAGGGCCCGCCGTGTAGGCGGGCAATCGCCGGGAGGGGCTGTGGTAGAGAAGGCTTTGTCCGGAAACCCACTGTCTCCTCTCACTTATGGCGAGTGACGGAGCACCGGGGTCTTTTTAGTGGGTATGCCTCGTCCTTCTGACTTGGTGAGCCCCACATAACCTACCCTGTCCCCGCAGGGTAGGTATGCGATTCAACGCATTTTTTCCCCGTACAAAAAAGCATACGGCTAGGCAACTTATTCGTTCAGGAGGGTGCAAGGAAGAGTGGCAGCCACAGTAGGTAAAATTTACTTAAGATTCGGCCAAACCAACGCGATTTCACGCGATCAGCCGGCGTGCAGCGATGGCGATTAATGCAGTTAGGTTTGGTCGCCATCGCTGCACGCCGGCTGATTGCGGTGTGATCGCGTTGGGTTGACCGAACCGTTGAACTTGAAAATGGCACAAATCAAGTCGACTTCGACGTGTATTGCCAACATAATCAAATAGATGTAAAAATGAGCATTGGCCACTATGCATACCTGGCCAGGCGGCGGGTCGCGCCGCTACAAGTGCGCGGGCGGCGGTGACGGGCGCGTCGTGAGCGGCAGCGGCAGGACGTGCGGCGCATACTCGGGAGCGAGCACGTACCGCGGCGAGCAGCACATGGAGTACGAGGAGCCCTTGCGCGCCTGCAGCTCCAGCAGCGAGCACAGCGACCGCTCGTACAGCCGCCACTGGTGCACCACCCAGTGGGCTGAAACACGCCCGATATCACCCACTGTTCGGTATTGAGCGTTGAGGTACACGCATCAGCGATATGACCCACTGTTCGGTTAGGGTTGTACACGCATTAGCGATATGACCCGTTGTTTGGTATTGAGTTATGCACGCGCCAGCTATGACTATTGTTCTTTGACTACACTAACCACCAGCAATTGCCCCAACGTTCTTTGATGTTCAGGGTTGGTACACATACGCGGGATAGGCATAAGCACAACTGAGCGGAAAAAAACGGATATGCTAGCCGCACAATATGCTTGCTCATATGATATTATGCTAAGAGTTAAGATTGTCGCTCAAATATATACCAACTCTAATGAAATAGGTACCCGATTAGTACTAATTAAATGAAGTCGAATAAGTAAATTTGTCGGCTTTTTTATTTACCAATGCCAGCCCGCTTATATGTTAGCAACCCTTACTATTCGAATTTCGCTTATGCAAATTGTGCTAGCACTTTCGCAAAATTAAATAAAACAAAAATAATACTCGCCACTATCTCGCATGCGATGGACTCTTCGCTTCCTTGAATCGTGCTTCCAGTGTTTCTTCATATGTTTTGACTGTTTTATGATTTTGTATTCTTGTTCTTGTTAACAATTAACAATTCCTTAGAGCCAAAGCACACGATGCGTTACAGCGTCAATGCGACGCCGGAGCGGTATCGGTGCCTCGTCTTACATAGAAATATCTGTGCCCAGTGCCCACGAGTGCCACGAGCCACGAGCGAAATCTTTGCGGTGCGGCGCCGCCGCAACGCATCGTGTGGCTTGGCTTTAATTCTATCGTAGGTACAAAACATATATTAAGATACCCATATCTTGCAGGTATACTAACTATAACGACGAGTAAAAACTTGTAGTGCCAATAAAGCATTTATGTGCTTACTTCGTTTTCTGAACAAGCTCGAAAGCTCTAAAGAAACGTACGATATCTGCTACTAATTTAATGGTACTTAAATTTTTAATGCACTATTACTGTTTATATCTCATAAAGCGACAGGCAATCTATAAAGTGTGCCGTAAAACCACTATATATGCTGAGACATATTGCCTAGAATAGAAAAATTGCTAACTAAATCCTATTTGTAGCAACTGTAAAANGTAGCGACTGTAAGAGCTAAGTCGCTACCTACCTAAGTTACGAGCATATGGCAAGAAAATATTCTACGATGTAGGTTGTTTTCAACCCACACGATTGAAAGTGGATAGTGATCTAACTGATCTAGGAATATTAAGTACGTTGTACATAATTGAGAGCTCCTAATCAGGAAAACAAATTGTTATCTGACAGTCGTTCAGGGCAGAAGTACGAGTATGTTGACTTAACTTTTACATAGTACTTATTTGCTCTTGATCTAAAGATAATTAACTTTTTTTAAAAATAAAACCGACTTCAAATGCGTGAACACAAAAAAAACTAAAAATTAAAAATATTGCGTATAAAAAGTTCATCCCTAATTTTCCACCCTTGGGGGTGAAATATTTTCTTCAAATTCGCATGAAACCACCCTTTTGATAATACCTATTCAACAAAAAAATAATCGTTCAANAAAAAGTTCATCCCCAATTTTCCACCCTTGGGGGTGAAATATTTTCTTCAAATTCGCATGAAACCACCCTTTTGATAATACCTATTCAACAAAAAAATAATCGTTCAAATTGATTTATAATCGGCGGAGATATTGCGTATAAAAAAGTTCATCCCCAATTTTCCACCCTTGGGGGTTGTTTTTTCTATTATTAAATTTAAATGGGACCACCCTTGAGGTATTACCTATACGCCGAAAAAAGATTTGTTCAAATCGGTTCATAATTGGCGGAGCTATCCAGTAACAAACATAGAAGAAAAAAAAAACATACTGGTCGAATTGAGAACCTCCTCCTTTTTTGAAGTCGGTTGAAAATAAGAAATTTTTTGAGTAATTTTGACAAGAAAATCGCTATTTACATGCAGAAAATGGCACTTTAAGCACTGCTTTATGACCTGAATATTTCCACGAGCATCATGAATCCTGGCGTGATGAATCACACGTCCCTCTGCAGTCGTAACAACGAGAATAATCCTTCGATTCAGTTAATTAAGACACCTCGTCTCGGACCCCATAAATAGAAGTTAAAGAGGATTTACGATGAAAAAGTTGTACGTTCGGAAACAGTGTTGCTGGTGAATCCATAGGTTGAATATCGATAGTGTGTTTTCCAGTTAATCGATATGTAGTGATGTTCGTATTATTAAATTTGTGATACCATGACATGATAAGCTGACAGGCAGCAGAAGATTCGTGGGCAGTCTACTACAGGGAAAGTATTTGTTGGAGATTTGAAGGCCAGTATTATATCACCAGTTTTTGCTCGCTTAGGCTGAGATATTAATGATTTCTGCCACCTTCAAGTGACTTAAAATCTCAATGAACTTTAGAAAGAATCGATAAGTATTAAGTGACTCTACGAACAGCACTTTAAACCAAATCAGAGACTGGTTGGGAATTTCGGATCCATCTTGTTTTTGCCATCAAGACCCTCAAGTGGTATTTAACAATCGCGCTTGTTTTTATAAACATGGCCGCCAATTATATCTTACTATGTCGCCGAATATGTGAAGTTTTGTACATGACTTGAAAGACTGCTGAAAAACAATCAGGACTCATTACGTTGGACAAGTCATTGAATATGATGAAACCTAATTGGTTGCAAATTCTCCACTCATTCTCGGAAATAACCTTCAAAGCGGTTCAGTTTGCTATTTTCTATCATTGCCAATTTGACAGAACCAGAGTAAATATAAATGAGTAGGTCCTCTTCATAGAAACGCACCGAGCGCGGTTCGTATGTGAGCGCGCGCCAAATACGTATGCGGCGCGCACGCACACACTGACAAAATTCAGCGCACCTCACCGCGTTTCCATGAAGATGACCTACTCATTTGTATTTACTCTGACAGAACGCCCGTATTCACAAACATTACTATGAGGTCTCACACACAGTGCGCGTGGACGCACGGGGTGACACTCAAAACAATCACAGAACTCTGTTCTACGCTGTGAGTTCGATTTGCTGATTCAATTAAGTAAGTATCATTTGTGAATACGAGTGTAAGAATAATTCATTTACCTACTCTCAGTTTAAGTGCTAAGAGTGATTGATTGCATTACCAATGAATCGTTAATAAACAGGATTAATGCACAAATTGGCCACTTAAAACTTCACAAAGCATTCTTGCTCCTTAATCGCTGCGTGCCGGTTGCGGTGTAGTTAATTCAATAAAAATTCAAAAGCGTCTTCCTTTTGCAAGTTAATCCACTCACAATAATTTGACTTGACTTAACTTACTGCCAACTTTCAAAGTAAATGACAGCATTCGACTACTCGTCAGGGTTCCGTTGACAGCGGCTGTCAATTCAAATTACACCGTATCCTTCTTCAGGGGATATCAATGATACCACATAATTTCAAACTCTTTTTTGTCGAATTTGAAAATGAAATCGCTTCGGTCACGGTTTGGTTTCATGGTACATGAGCAGGTTTAGTCGGCACCGCACACGTTTCAGACATTAATAATTTAATAGTGCAAGCAGCTTGCTTTTGAAGTCTTTGCATCAGCCCTCCGATTATGTGAGAGTCGCTAATCTTTGCATCAGCTTCGATAGTAGCGACCCTCGTTCTTCGATCTCCGTCGATCGCTAGAGTAATGTGAACAACCGACTCTTAACCTAGCTTTATATTAAGCTGAGCTATAATGCTTAATTAATTGAATTAAATGGTTGCTTTTGTACCTATTATATGTAGATCCGAAATACGAGTATCAGTGACATTTCAAAGTTAACCCTTTCACGCATATGGGACACATTTGTCCCCACATAGTTTTCACGATTTACAGTAATACTGGTTAAGTAAAACCATTTGTAGTTTAATATTCTTAAATTTTATTATTACCTTTTATGATTATGCGCTAGAAATAATAAAAAACTCGATTACATGTATAAAAAAATACTGGCACAACATATGAAAAAAAAATTTGTTAGACGTCAAAATTTAAAATTATTTTTTTATTACTTATCGGCTTTCTGCCACTGTGTTTCTTCCAATTTTACATTCAATGGTAAGTATAATTATCGTTTCATTGCATATTTTCGTTTATCTTCTTACGAATTAGGAAAATTATGTAAAAATCTAATTGGGACACGGGTGTCCCTATATGCGTCAAGGGAAACTTGGTTCTTACTAAGGATATTGTTTGCGTCGTTATAATTTGTATGTTTATATTGATGTTTTATTATAATATTCATACATTTATTTGTAAACCATTTGTCTTTAAATCGATATAAAAAAATTCGCTCAGGAAATTCGAAATTTTGGATGTCATGAAGTCATGATAACTGATGATAGCGACAATGAGGATGGTTTCCTCCTGGATAAAAGGGCGTCTACAGCTACTCTGCTCCCCTGAGGACTTCCACAACGATCGTTTCTGTGCTGCTCGTATACATGAATGTATACGAGAAGCACAGGAACATGAGGCTTGCCACACTGCGTCTTCCTATCCGTGGGCGCCACTTGAGAAATTTTCTGTCCTCACTTCTGCGAGCTATGTGCCCTACCCACTGCCGCGAAAGTTTGACAATTCTGCGGGCTATGTCTGTTACTTTGGCTCTCCTGCGGATCTCCTCATCAAAATTTGGGTGACTTTGAGCCTTCTCATGAGGCCCATAGTGAAGGAATACGTCTCCGTTCCGTACGCCATCACTGCCAACACACATTGGTCGAAGACTTTCTATCAATGGGTCTTGAGACACTGCGGTATTTTTGATAAGAAGATGTCGGGAAACTTCTCGGATGTTGTCCCCCCGAATAAGATTCAACGATTATAGTCACGGCACGGCTAAGACCTTGGAAGACCTAGAATCTATGCTATATGGCCTTAGTAGAGGCTCTCAATAAATGGGATTCAAAATAAATAAGGACAAGACGAAAA